ATCTCGAACAGTTATTGAATAATTGATTTCAAAGTGACGGAAACACTGGGTTTCGACAGACCAATACTGAACTGTCAAAAGTAACATGTTTGGAAAATTATATCGATACTAAGGAGGTAGCTCGACTATTCCAGCATAGGAAACTCAAGAGAACTTGAATATGTAAAAGATGAACTTTTCAGAGCAGAAGAAATTGTATATTGTTTGTTATCAACATCGAACAGAGTAATGAAGCGGTGACTTGATAAACTGTTATGCAGAAGAGAAGTGCTAGGCTAAGGTTCTAAGCGGTTGTCTTTTTCATTTTCTTTTCTATTCTTATTTCTTTGCGCTTTTAGATCGAAACCAGCATTTTCGTTTCTCTTTGTGAGCTAGTTTACGATGCTGGAACAATACAATGATCCTTCTGTGGTCTCGAATTACTTTCAAAACAAACGTTCGTCATTGGACATTCTTGAGTTTCAATGCGTTATCCGACGTGCTATTGAAAAATTTCACTCGAATTTGCCAATAGTCAAAGCGCTAGATGTTGGATGCGGAGAAGGTTCGTTAGGGAAATATTTATTGAATGAAGATATCGTTGCATCAATGGTTGGCGTCGACGGTTCGCAAAAAGTGATTGAACTCGCAAACAGAATGAAGAATGATGATAATCGTCTACAATACCATAACGAAAATGCGATCAATTTAAGTAAGCTATTAACGCTTGACGAAAAGTTTCGGCTTGTGGTGTCAGTGAATATGTTGAATCATGCCGAAAACATTGAAATGTTATATTCAATGGTGAAAAATATCTTTAATCAATGCAGCGGATATTTTATTGGTATTATACCAAATCCATTTTTCGATTTTCAAGAAAATGACGAAAACAAATCAGTGAAATATGGTAACAAAAAGATTGGCAAGAAACATCCGCTGAAGGATGGAGACGACATTTATGTTATAGTAGGCTCTGGTACAGATCACGCAGTTGAGCTAAAAGATCATTGGTACAGTGCATCTTCGTATGAGTCGGTATTTATCAAAGCCGGATTCGAATCATTCCAATGGTTACAATTCGAAGAACTCGCTTCCGATGAGGAAAAACAACATTTTTCTGATTATTTTACCAACCCTCCACACATTGCATTTTCCGCCGTAATTCGAAAAGAAGGCCATTTTATTGCGATAATGAATACATTCTTGTCAGCATTCTTATTTTACTTCTCTTTTTGTGATCATTTCAATTTCAAATTAAAGCGTCGTGAATAAATTATTGAACTATATTGGAACGCAAATTAGAGCTGTTTCCCAAAATGTGCTCTCCGTCAATTTATCAGAAAGTGTATAGGGCCGCTATTTCTCTATATTAATTGGGTCTTCAAACAATGAAAGTTGCATTCTAGGCCAGGGAAAGATATATGACTTTTATGAGAAAGTTTAGCTAGAAATACGATTAAACAAACCGCCAGTTTCATTAATCGATAGTAAGTTTCAATCTCTAGGCTGTCTTTACAAATATTTTTGGCATCTTTCCAGAAACAATGAGAACACCCATATTCCAAAATCTTGCACAAGCGAACAAAATCTAGAATATTACGTTCTCAAGGTCTTCTAAGTAAGATTTTGCCTGTGATTTGATAAAAAATTTACTCTGTGATTCACCTGTGTATGTACATAAATATGGTTTTTCCGAAAAATGTGGTGGTTGCACCACCTCTGTCTTTTCTTTTCGTTCAGTTATTTTAAATTATTTACGCTTGTATGACGAACTTCACTCATAATTTCACTTTCCGTTCCACACAAGCAAAGTTCTTTAGTGTAACTGTCTAGATGCCTTTGCTGGTACATCGGTTGCTTTCTTACTCGCATAGCTAGCTGCGACTGTTAGATCATCGACTTATCTAGCTGCATTGGTCGATGAATCCAGAAATATTCCGAACAATGAATCACGCAGATGTCGCGCGATACTGGATAAGACAACCCGTTCACATTCATATTTTCCTAACTGAAATCAACGCATCGATCGATGCAGCTAGATAAGTCGGTGCTCTGACAGTCGGAGCTAGCTAAGCTACTAAAAAAAAACCTAGTTAGCTAGTTGCATCAAACAAATTTTCCATCGGGAAAAAAGCGATACAAGGTCTTTTTTTCGAGCTTGAGGACATTACCATTGTCGTTTCATCTTGTTATAGCATATTACGAGGTTTAACAGGAGAGATACCAAAGAATGGCTGCTGAAATGCTCTATACCTTTAGATATGTTTTTATTACTATAGGATGACGCTAATTAGAATCAATTTTCTTTAAATAATCCTGTTTCATATTTTGATCATCACATAGATCGGTAATTATTTGTTTTAGTTCATACTTACAATCATCATAGCCGTGATCATTCAACTTTAATGCAACTAAATGACCAAAATTAATCCATTAAATAATCGATTAAAATTAGCAGCTAATGAATGATCTCTTGAATCGATTAAACTAAGATTTTCATCCCAGCAGCCATTATTTGGTATCTCTCCAGTTAAACCTCGTATTTTATTATTATTGTGCACTATTATCGATAACAAAAGCTTTTGTTTAATCTGCACTTCATGATGTGTTTGTGAGGAATAGAACATTCTCTACGTGAGTATTGATGTGTTAATAAGTCATGCGTAAATCATTTCAAACAATTGATGGTGACAATAGGTGCGTACCCATTACTTTTGAACCGAGTGCAAACTCGTGTAAATGACAAAACAATAGGAACACGTTTTGAGTATTGTCTGAAAACATTAACGCAAAAGCATTCGACGTTATTTATGAGGGCAAAAAGTCAACAAAATACTTGTATCTATCATAGCAAGCAAAATAAAAAATATTTGCTGCTGTTTTCGAAGATGTTTGTTTATAATGTGGTATTAATTGCAACTTAAGGGTCTTCTCTTTTACACTCTCTTGGAAAGCGTGGAAGCCAATGTCCGATCGGCTTCAAAATCTTACCAAAGGCCAGTGATTGAAAAAGAAAATCTGTGTGTTTTTGCTCAGAGTCATTTTCTTCGATGAGTTTTCTAGAAAACTCTGGTTTGCATCTAGCCACACTACGAACCCTCAAAACATGATCCGATATAGTTCGAATTCGATCTACCTATCTCGGATTCTAAACGTTGTTCAACATTTTGGCAGAAAAATGCAAGAAGGGTTTACACGAGGCATTAGAGAGCCGAAATTGCTGTGTACTCGCACTGAATCCTTTGCCTTTGCTGTATGAATTTCGTAAAACATGTCTTTTTTCATTTGTAGATAGAGATTGTGACGTCCTAAAGAGATCATGGGGTCGATAAACCTCTAAAACTGTTTACATCATGTCCTCGAAGAAAAGTCCGAGTAAAACATGATGTAATCAACGTGAAAAAGCTATAGTCACTTTTAACGCCGGAGTAATAGTTAAATGCTGATGACTATCCAAAACGCATGTGCTGTTCTTGCTGACTTTCACTGGTCAGGATAAAAAACAGATTCTGACCAAGAAAATAGGACAAAACCTTTTTACTTACAGTTTACTGATCAGTGGTCTGATCAGACAAACTCGACATTCTCTAGGGTACCTATTTGGATGCCTGGCTGTTTGAAATCTATTGGGGATTAGTAAATCGACTATCCTCAGAAAATGACCGCGAAAGCTCTAAAGTAAAAGAGTCGGTGAGCTTTATAGGAGAGCCCCACTGAGTTTTTCCTAACAAGTGCCCGGTTTTGAGGTACCGTGAAAGAGAATAGTTAAAGACCTCGGGTTGCATATGCTGAAAAAAGAGTTTTTTTGGTGGTTTGTGAAGCTTTACCATCTTATTTTCATTAAATTTGGTTCAGCACGGCAAAAGCACCTAATTCTCAAATGGTTTGCAAAGTCCATTGGACTCTTTACTCAATCTGTTGGACTGGGACTGGACTGGATTGCTTGTCTAGAGTCCATGGACTAGACTGGATTTAAAAAACTGTTGTTCATGGACTCAGACTGGACTAGACTTTTTTAGTCCATGGACTGCACTGGGCTCAAAAACTTGAGTCTATAC